CCCCCAGAAAGCTGGCGCTTTTTTAACACTATGGAATGAAGTTCCTGAGGAAATTTGGCCATTTTCCCTCAATATATTGGCGATGCCAGTCATGGGGGATGGCGACGGGCTGGCGACCATGCCCTGCCGCCTGCCCTCATTTCGCCAGCTCTGGCTGGCGATGGCCTTCGGCCAATCGCCAGCCAGAGCCGTTTTTTGCCCGATTTCGCCAGCATTTGGCGATTTCGCCAGCTTTCAGAAACACTGCCGCCGCCGCTCCTGCCGCCACCTTGCGCCGCCGCCGCCGCCACGCATCCCGCCGCTGCCTCGCCCTGCCCGCCCGCAGGATGCCCTGGATGCCATCCGCGGCTTTGGCGCGGAGGCCTCTGTGATCCGGGCGACCTGCCCCCAGCACTCGCTGTACGGAGAGAACTTCTACCTGGGCGCTTCGCTGTTGGAGCGTACCACCACGGCCACCCTGGCGGGCTGCTGCTCGCTGTGCAGCGACACCGACGGTTGCTCCAAGTGGGCCTACTGCCACATGAACGTGGAGGGAGGGTGAGCTGGTGGCTGGAGAAGGCAGCTGCACAGCCCAGGCGGCCTCAACGGCACGTGGGGGCGACCTTTGACCCTCCTGCCGCCCTCCAATGCGTGTCCCCATCCTGCCCGCCGCATCCCTGGCCGCAGCTGCGTGGCGCCGGTGGGCCCCTGGGCCAACACCGCCTTTGAGGCGGGCACCTGCCTGCTGAGCAGCAGTCTGGCGGCCGACCGGCGCACCTGGATGACGTGGAGCCTGGCGCAGCCGGGGGTGGCCTGGGTGTCTGGGGAGGTGGCGGGCAACGCCTCAGAGGCGAACATTGTGGAGACGGCCGACGAGGCGGCAGGTGGGTGGGGCAGAAGAGTTGGGGAGATGGGGGGTTGATCTTTCGGTTTTGCAGTGCAGTTGTTTTTGCAGGAGGAGGATCGGTCGATGCACTGAGCCTGTGGGTGGCTGAACAGGATGGCTGCTGCTGCTGCTGGCTGTGCAGAGAGCATCGAGCGCATTAAGTTTGACACGAGCGACGAGATGTTCTGCCGAGTGGTGGAAGGGGGGCCGCTGCAGGTGTGTTGCACATGAGCGCACACACTAACTGCTGTATCCCCTGGGCCGCTTTGCGCTCGCCCGTGTGTGCCACATGCCTGATTTACATCCCTGCACCCAAGATGCCTCCTGATGCACCCGCTCTGAGTTTCGCCACCCGCAGCTGGCCCCTCTGGATGCCCAATCCTCGGCGCCTGGGCCAGCCGTGGAGCAGGGGCAGGAGCTGCGCTTCACGGGAGTGCGTCTGGCAGATGCCAGCGGCGCCGACTGGGCGGTGGTGTTCTCTGCAGACAGTGGCTCTCTCTGGCGCTACCCGGCGGCAGACCTGGGGTATTGCAACGGCACCAGCCCAGGTGGGGCACAAGGGCATGTGGGATGTGAGGTTGGGTGTGCACCTGCCCCATCCAGGCCGCAGCAGAGTCTAATAGCCATGACACTCGGTGCATGATTTGCCCGCCGGTGCAGGCTGTGCGGCCAGCGCCAGCGGCGGCAGCACCGAGGAGGGAGCCTCGTGCGCCGGCGACGACGAGTGCTGTGGCGGCCTGGTGTGCCTGCCTCGCGGTGAGCAGTCGTGCCCTGTTGCATCAACAGCTGGGTCCCTGGTGCTGTTCGAGCGCAACTGTGCTGCTGCTGATGGGACACTCCGCCTCTCCTGCCCCTCCCTCACTTCCACCGCTCCATACCTGTCCTCCTTGTCCTCGCTGGCAGGCACAGAGAATGTGTGGGTGTCCTGGTCTGACGCCAACAGCACGGGCAAGGTGGTGTTTGGCGGCGCCCAGCACAGCAGCGGCCTGCAGCTCCTGCCAAATGAGTGTGCCCGGGTCAACAGTGAAGGTGAGCGATGGAGGCTCCTGTCCTGCCTCGCTGGAGGCTATCGCCGATGCCTGCCGCCGCCACCCTTCCTGGCCCTGCCTGCTGACACTGCCTGCCTGCCTGCCTGCCTGCAGAGGATGTGGGGCGTTTCGACTTTGGCAGCAGCGACAAGATGTTCTGCCTGACGGTGGTGGGAGGGACGCTGCAGGTGGGCTGACCAGGTGGCGCAGCTTGCTGTCTCTGGTATGTGGAGCACAGGTGCACGCATGCTGATGCTGATCGCTCCAGTCGTCACCGGGTGCCTGTCCCTGCCTGCTCTGGCTGCAGCTGTCCAGCCTGGATGCTGCCAGCACGGCGCCGGGGCCAGCCATTGAAGCCGGCCAGCAGGTGAGCCCGCCTGCAAGGAGCGGCACGGTTGGAGGCAGCAGCGGCGCTGTGCTGCGGTCTGCCAGGCGGCGCATGCCTCAGAACATGCATCCAGACCCATTGCAAAGCCGCGACACGCACCCCACCGCCCCCGTGCAGCTTTACTATACTGGCCTGAGGGTGGCTGATGGCAACGGAAGCGACTGGGCTGTGGTGTTCTATCCGGCCAGCAGCTCTCTGTGGCGCTACCCGGCGGCGGACCTGAGCCCCTGCAACGGCACGGTCCCAGGTGAGCGTGGGTGGGTGGCTGGCCATGCGGGTGAGTGCCCCTCCTCCAAACCGCTGGCCCGCCTGCGAAGCCAGCCAGCTGCTCTCCACACCGCCTGGCTTGCTGGGTTGCCTGAACCTCGTGCATCTTGAACCCCGCACAGGTTGCGACGTTGACAGCGGCGCCGACCTCGCCATCTCATGCGCCGGCGACGACGAGTGCTGTGGCGGGCAGGCGTGCCTGCCCCGCGGCCCAGCCAATGTGTGGCTGTCGTGGAGCGATGTCAGTGGCAGCGGCAGGGCCCTGTTTGGCAGCGGGCCCGACCACAGCCTGCAGCTGCTGCCTGGCGCGTGTGGTGCAGAGAGCGGCGGCGGCGGCGGCGGCACCACAGGTGGGTCCAAGCGGCAGTCCACATGCGCCGAGGATGCATCCCACTCCACTCCCTGCTGCCCCATGTCATACTGTGAATGCCCTACTCAAAACACCACCCTGTACCTGCCTCCCCTGCCTTCCCGCCTGCAGGCCGGCTGCAGTTTGACGCGCCACAGTGGGAGGGCGTCCCGCTCAGCTTCTGCCTGGGCGCCAACCAGGGCTGCGGCGCGGCGGCGGCGGCCCAGTTCTGTGCGGCCAGCGGGTACGACAGCGTGGCAGACTGGAGCGGGCCGGTGGCGCTGGCAGCCTCCCAGGAGTTCACCATCAGCGTGGAGAGCGGCGAGCTGTGCAAGTCTGCGCTGCAGCAGTGCCAGACCTTCTACTACATCGTGTGCCAGGCGGAAGCGCTGTGAGGCCGCTGGCGGTGCGGCGGCCGAGGCATGCATATGGCACCCCTGCTAGCCTGCCTTCTGTATCCGTTGTTATACATTGCTTGAAATTCTCCTTCTATTCACTTCATGACTTGATTTATGTTCAAACTTTCATGTGCGCCGCCTCCGCTCCGCTGACATGGCACCGCTGTCTGCCCAGAAGAGCTGGTGGCGCCGGGAAGGCACTCTTGACTACTCTTTCAGCTCAATTGCATTGCCTGAATTGGCAGCACGCGCTCTCAGGGTCCGCCGGGCAACACCCACCCCATTCAGCAGCGGCTCTTCCACGCGCGGCGATCTGCGTGTTCAGCGGCCATGGGGCAGCTCGTGAGCAAGAAGCCAAAGTGAGTTCACAGCCTTAGCCAGCGCTTGGCATCTCTGGACGCGATCGCCGCAGGCACAGTCTGTTTGCAAGCCCCAGGACTCATCCAGCACTTTGCCAAAAGCCGAGGCAGCCGTCGTTTGTGGGCTGTCTGTTCCCCCACCGGCGCACCTCTGCCGCCTCCTTTGCCGCCAACAGCGGACTCATACCTGCCTCTCCTGCGCCCTGCCCTGCACTCCAGGCTGGAGATCAATGATGTTGACCGGGCGGTGCTGACCCTCAAGTCGCAAGTCCGCAAGCTGGAGCAGCAACGCACGCGGGTGAGGCTGGCGGCGGCCATGCAGCCGCCGCCCGCCGCTTCCAGCTCCCAGCCTTTGGCCCTCTGCCAGATTGCACCCCAGAGGTGCACTTGCGGGCTGCGCCCTCTCCCTGGGTCATTTCCCTTGTCTGCTGAATGTGAACCCTCCCCCCACCCGCCCGCCTTGCACCCGCCCTGCAGATCCAGGCTGCCATCGACCGGGAGCAGCAGATGGCGCGGGAGCTGGTGGCCGCGGGAAGAAAGGACCGCGCCCTGCTGGCGCTGAAGAAGCGCAAGCTGCAGGAGGGGCAGGCCGCCAAGCTGGACGGGCTGCTGCTGAATGTGGAGGAGGCGGTGGGTGGGCTGCCTGCTGAGCGTGGAGGGAGCTGCCGCGCGGCGCGCTGGCGGGGCCGCCGCCGTAGCGCATGCTGGGGGCGTGGCTCTGTGTGCTAGGCTGAGCTGGGCAGACGCCGTGGGGCCTGGCCTCCTGCGGCGCATGGTAACCCCCCAACTTGCGGCAGCCGGCGGCTGCACGCTGGGCCCAGCCTGCCCCCTGTCCCCCCCCTGCTGGCTGCCTCACGCGCCGCGGCCCCCATCACGCGCGCCGCCTGCAGCTGGGCAACATCGAGACCACGCAGTCGCAGCAGCGCATCTTTGGCGCGCTCAAGGAGGCCAACACCGCGGTCAAGCAGATGCAGCAGGTGGGCGCCCGCGGCGTTGTTTGCTTTGCCGCAGCGCCGCGTGCCGCGCTTCCTTGTCCACTTGGGCCGACTCGCGCGGCGCCGCTGCTAGCATTGTCCTCCCTGGCTGCCTTGCGCTCCCCGGCTGGCGATGCTCCTCGCGGGTGACTTCTGAGGATGCGACCTCCCTCCCTCCTCCCTTTCCTCCACAGGCGCTGCCGCTGGAGGATGTGGAGCAGCTGATGCAGGACAGCGCGGATGCCAAGGCCTACGAAGACAGCCTGCGCCAGCTGCTGGGTGAGGCGACTGGCTGGCATGCATGCCTGCCGCGTGGTGCGCGCGCGTGCCTAGCGCACGTGCCCACCTCGCCTGCCGGGCGGTGTGCTGCGTGGTGTGCTTGCCTTGCCGGCCCGCCTCGCGTGCCTGCGCCTCACGCTGCACCCCTCTGTGCAGGCGAGTCGCTTAATCCCGCCGAGGAGGAGGCGGCGGCGGCAGAGCTGCAGCAGCTGGAGGCACAGCTGCTGGATGAGCAGGGGATGGAGATGCCCAAGGCTCCCACCGCGGTGGCGCGTGCGGAAGCGGCAGCGGCGGCGGCCCAGGAGCAGCCCGGGGGCGCGGTGGCAGCGGCGGTCACCAGCCCGGAGGAGGTGCTGCTGGCGCAGCTGCCCAGCGTGCCCAAGACGCCGGTACAGCTGGCAGAGGGGGAGCCGGTGGAGCCGGAGAAGGAGCCGGCCATGCTGGCGGCCTGAGGCGGCCGCTCGTTGGCTGCTTGTGGAAGCAGCTGCCTGCCGGCTGCACCCCCAATGCCTCGGCACAAGGCTCGCGATCGCTTGTGCCAGTCGGCGCCCTTGTGTACATTCTCCCCCCCTGTCAACGTCCCTCTCTTGGCGCGCGTTGTAAACTAGACTGCGATCCCAGGCTGGATGGCTGAACTGGCTCCCAGTCGGCGGCTGCGCCGTCGTGCTGGCAGGGCACTGCCGTACTGCTGTGACACCGCCAGGCGACAACAGCTGTTGTCAGGGGGCCTAGATGCGCCAATTCAATCGCGTTAGCGGCGTCTCGATTGTTTTCTCACCGCCTGGGGCTCCAGTGGAGCCCACAGGCACGGCAGCACACTTCATAGTTTCGAGACGCCAGACCGGTCACAGCGCGCGTAGCAGCAGCGTGGGCTGTCACCACTTGGCAGCCCTCCGGCAATGCCACCACGCTCTACTTGCTAACTTCAATGTCTGGCCGGAAGCGGCCATCCACCAGCAGCTTTGGGCGCTCTGTCCGCGCCCGAAATGACGACCCCGACTATGTAGCCGAGGCCCCGCCGCTGGATGGGTGAGTGGACGAGCAGATGCAGCGAATGCTGCCGGCCATCGCCCCAATCGGGCTGCCTGGCCAGCTGCTGCGGGCTGCCAAGCACGCCCGGCCCCTCCTTCGTGCTGCAGCAGCAACGTGCAGGCCAAGGTGCGACGCAATGGGAGGGGAGGATGGAGCAAGCAAGAGGTTCGTATCGGGCGGCCCGAATTTGCGCCAGGCGCCAGGCAGCTGTCGCGCGGCGGGCTGCATGGCGGCGGCGGTGTCAACACCGCCGCCTCCTGGTTGCAACGACAGCTGACGTCCAGGGCGCGCGCTGCGCGGCTCTGCCCTGCAGGACGAGCTGCTGCGCCGCATGGTGGCGCAGTATGGCGCCAAGAACTGGAAAAAGATAGGTGCGGCAAAGGGGGCGGGCGTGCGCGTCAGCGGGCGCTGGCGGGGACCCCTCGGGCCAGCAGAGCCGTCTGGTGCCGACTGTGCAGCTGCCTGCTGGTCCCGGGGCTGGATGATCGAGGCATGCGACAGCTGGGGCAGCTGGAGGGCACGGGGGCCACGGCCAGCCTTTCCCGGCCGCCGGCGACGTCGCCTCTCGACAGCTGCCGCCCGTACCGCAGCAGGCGCCGCCACCGTACCGCCGCCGCGCCCCCCAGCCCACGCGCCGCGCTGCGATGCCTGCGCCCCTGCTGCAGCCGAGCACTTTGCGGACCGCACCGACGTGCAGTGCCTTCACCGGTGGCAGAAGGTGCTGAACCCCGAGGTGCACAAGGGGCCCTGGACCCCTGATGAGGATGAGGCGATCATCCGGTAGGTGGGGCAGAGTGGAACGCAAGCTGTCTGCTTTGGTCTGCCAGCAGCTGCTTGGCTTGCCTGTTCCTACCCACAGCTGCGCTGCTGGGTGGGGCTGTCAACAGCGAGCAACCGGCGGTGGGAGAGGCGTGGCCTGGGGAGCAGCTGCCACGCCTGCCGCTCCGCTCGCCTGCCGCTGCTCTCGACCGCTCTCCCGCCCGCGCCTGCCCGCCTGCTCCCGCTTGCAGGCTGGTGGCGCTGCACGGCCCGCAGAAGTGGACAATGATTGCGGAGTACCTTCCGGGCCGCATCGGCAAGCAGTGCCGGGAGCGGTGAGCGCAGCATGCTCGCTGGCGCTGGCAGCTGCCGCTGGCTGCTGGCACTGGCTGCGTCCGACAGCCGCCGCCAGGCCGCGCCGGCCACCTCCCATGCCGTGTCTCAGCCTGGATGCAGCAGCCCGCCAGCTGCTGGGCCCTCGGAATGCAACTTCAAGGGGCCGCCGACCGCCACCCCTCCGCTCCATCTCATCTGCTCTTTCCACCCGCCCCCGCAGCTGGCACAACCACCTGAACCCCGCCATCAAGCGGGGCCAGTGGACCCGGCACGAGGATGAAGTCATCGTGCGCTTCCACCGCCGATTCGGAAACCAGGTAAGGGCGCTGGATTGCGGCGGCGGCGGCTCGGCGCAGTCTGGGCTGGGATGTTTGCGGAGGGGGTTGGGTGGGTGCTTGCCAGCCAGCCTGCTTGCCTCTGCCCGCCTCCTGCGCCTGGGCCACGCCCCCGGAGGCGGAAATCCCACCCGCCTCCGCGCGCTCACGCATGCACATGCTTTCACTGGCCTCTGCCCTTTTGCAGTGGGCCCGCATGGCGCAGCACCTCAAGGGTCGCACCGACAACGCCATCAAGAACCATTGGAACTCCACGCTGCGGCGCAAGGTGGGACATGATGGGCGCGCATGTGTGTGCCTGCTGCGGCTCCTCAGCGGGCCGATGGAGGCCTGCGGCACAGCAGCGCGGCACGGCCGGCTGCCGCCTGCCGACGCCCCACTTCGCAGCCTGCCTGACGCCACCCGCTGCCGCTGCTGCGCTGCTTGCAGGTGGAGCAGGGGGAGTTTGTGGGGCTGCCAGAGTGGAAGGACGAGGACTCGGATGCAGGCAGGCGCCCGCTGCCCTCCATCTGCCGCTGCCTGCCACCCTGTTGGATTTCCCTTCCAACCACAAAAGCCCACCACCTTCACATGTGCCACATCACCAGCACGAACACTCGCACGCATGCATGCAGACAGCAGTCCTGCCTCTCCTTGCTCCGCCCCTTGCCTGCCCTTACCCCCGCCCCTTGCCTGCCTTTGCCCCAAGCAGAGTTTGAGGAGGGGGAGAGCGGCGGCGGCGGCAGCAGCCACTGCGGCGCCTCCAGCCAGGACCCCTCCTCCTGGTCCCGCTCCCTCACCTTCTCCCCGTCTGGCGACCGCCAGCGCTCCGCCACCCCGCCCGGCGGCGGCAGCGGCGGCGGCAGCCAGCCCGCGGCCGCGGCAGGCGGCAGGTGCGCGTGTGCTTGTGTGTATACAGCGGCTGGGCGTGGGTGTCGGTTCGCTGGGAGGCAGAGCTTTGAGCTGTGCCCCGCTGCCCTGCCGCTGGTCGCTTGCCGAGCAGCTGCCAGCCTGGCGGCGCTTTGTGGCGGCGCATTTGTCGAACATGCTGACGCATCGTTGGCTGGCGTGGCGCGTGCCTCGCCCCCCCATCCTGTGCTGCAGGCGCATCAGGGCCAGCCGGTCGCCGTCTGGGAGCCCCTCAGGGCTGAGGGACTATGCCCTGGCACAGGTGGGTGAGGTTTCACCCCTTGGTGCCTGTGTGGGCAGCGGGGAAGCTGGGCGTGGGAACTGGCCCGAGGAAGCTGCCTGCTTTGCTTCCCGGCCAAACCCTCGCGCCACCCTCTCACGCTCTCCCGCTGTCCCCGGCCGGGCGCGGCCCTGCAGGGCCCGGCTGACGGCGCCACACGTCGCTCGCGGCGCGTGGCCAAGCGGGCCGCCGGCGGCGGCAGCAGACCCGGCTCGCCCGTGGCGGCAGCAGGTGCGCAGGCCTTTGCTGTGCGCCCTGCTGGCCAGCTGCCGCCTGCGCGCCACTTTGCCCCTCCTTGCCCTTCGATTCGGTTCTTCCTGAATGCGTGGCGGCGGCTCCGCTTGCTGCAGAGTATGGTACAGTGGAGGAGCTGGCTGCGCCTGGGCTGCTGCCCATTCCTATGATGAGCCAGCCAGCCCCGCAGCAGCGGCAGCAGCAGCGGCAGCCTGCGGTGGCGCACCCCTCTGCCGCTGCGGCGGCAGCATTTGCGCTGGCGGTGCCGCAGCAGCCGCAGCTGCAGTCTGTGCACCAGCAGCAGCAGCAGGAGGCAGCCGGGGCTCTGCGGCTGACCAGCAACCTGCTTAGACACCACGATGCAGCAGAGCAGCAGAAGGCGGCTGCCGCTGCCGCAGCAGCAGCCAAGGCGGTGGTGGCGTCCGCCGCGGCGGGGCACTTTGCTTCCACCGCCGCAACGCCCGCGCCAGCTGCTGCAGCAGCAAAGCCTGCCCGGGCGGCAGGTGGCATGCCGTCGCTGCCTGCACCAGCAGAGATGGATGCATACCTTCTAGCAGCGGCTGTTCCCCATGGCATGCCTGGTGCGATGGCACAGGCAGCAGGGGCAGGGCCAGCGCCGCAGCCCGGCCTTGCAGCCGCAATCCAGCCTGCAGGCTCGCAGGGGGCCGCGGCGGCAGCAGCTGCGGGGCCTGCCGACCAGTTGCAGCTCACCGCACCCGCCTCCCGGCCTCGCAGCCGTATGCTGCAGCTGCAGCAGGCGGAGCGGCGCCTCTCCACCCAGCCCTCCTTTGCCGGCTGGCTGGGAGGGCCGGGCACCGAGGATGCCCCCCGCGGCAGCCAGGCCGAGGTGGCAGCCACAGCGGCAGGCCAGGGCGCCACACCAAAGATGCCTGACGCAGCAGTGGAGCCCGTGGCGCCCACGCTGGCAGCGGCGGCGGCGGCGGCGGCGGCCGGAGGGTCGGGCGCCCCGGGCACCGCGCAGCCGCCACCCAGCACCATCCACGCAGACACCTGGAGGAGCTTGGTTGACCTGGGAATCACCAGCCCCCCCACAGGCAAACAACAGCGCCCTTGCCTGCCGGCGGAGTGACAGCCTGCACACCGCCGCATGCCCCGCACCACCTCCTCCGGCTGGCCACCCGCCGCATGTGTGCTTCTTATTATGTTGCTGCCAGCCAGCTCCCCACCTGCCGCCGTGCGCCACCCGGGGCCACCCTCCCGCCTCTGTCGCCTCACCTGCCTCCCTGCCTCGCCTCCTGCGCTCCTCTGCAGGCCACACCACCCATACCACTGTGGTTGGCACCCCGCTGCACATGGGCTCCCAGCCCAGCGGCACCGTGGCTACCCCCGCCATGCTGCTGTTTGGGACATCGATCAAGGGGCCCGGCAGCGGCCTGCGCACAGGCAGCGGCCTGCGGCGGTGGGTGCTGCCGCGGCCAGCTCGAGCTGTGCTGTTGTGCCGTGCATGTCGTGCCAGTCGTGAGGGCGCTGGGCATGCTGTGGTCGCACCTCAGCAGCACATGATCGGCCTTCCCGCCCTCCCCGGCTGCTGCTCCTTACGCCATCGCCCCCATCGCTCCTCCTCCATCCGCCATCCTTCCTGCAGAGGCGGCCAGCGGCGGCCTCCAGAGCTCTCCATCCTCCAAGAGGTGGCTGCCGGGCACGGCGTGCTGAATGCCTTGCCCGTGGCGCCATCCCAGACGCCGGCAGACGCCCCGGCGGCGGCCCCTGCGCCCTCCAGCGGCAGGCTGGCGGCCGCCGCCGCCGCCATGGCAGCCGCCATAGCGGCGCCGGCAGCAGGGCGGCCTGCCTCTGCAGCTGCTGCCAGCGGCAAACCCGGCCCGGCCGCGGCGGCAGCGACGGCAGAGGCAGGTGCACCGACAGCAGAGCGGGCTGAGGCCGATGGTGCCGCGGAGGGTGCCAGCCCGGTGCCGCCTGTCGGCAGCAGCGCCGCCGCGGCCGGCAGCGGCGGGGGTGGTGAGCTGCACCGCTCCGACTCTGGCGGCGGCCTGCCGCTGCTGCTGCTGTCCCCGCCCGTCAGCATGCCTCCCAGCAGCCTGCTGCCGCTGCCGCCCCTCAGCCTGGCCGGCGGCGGCAGGGGCGGGAGCCGCGCGTCGGCGGCAGGCGCAGGGGAGTCGGCGGCAGCAGCTGCAGCCGCTGTGGCGGACGACGAGGCCGACCGGCTGCTGCTCCAGCACTTCCGCCCCAGCAGCAGCAAGCTTACTGAGCTCTTTAAGCCTTTGGAGGATCAGCCGGCGGCTGGCAGCAGCCCGGCAGGTGGCCAAGCTCAGGGCGGGCCCGGTACCGTGGCAGCCCCCTCCCGCAGGTCTCCCCGCACAGCCCCTGAGCTGCGCGCCGCCATCCTTCGCCTCGCGCAGCAGTCGCCGCAGCAGGGCAGCGGCGGCGGCGCGGCCGCGCTGCTGGCGCCGCTGCTGGCGGCGGCGGCGGGTCCGCCGCCGCCGATTCCGCTGCCGCTGCCGCTGCCTGGGGAGGGACTCTCACACCAGGGTCCCTCGCTGCTGCCAGAGCTGGAGGCACTGCAGGAGGCTTGGCCTCATGGGCAGTACCGGTGAGTGCGGGCAGGGAGCTTGCCAGTATCAGCCTGAGCGGTGCCTGCTGGCAGCGGCGGCCTCCAGCCTCCTGCATGCCGGGGATGCTTGCTGGGGCTGTGGCCGGCAGGCCGCTCCTCAACCCAACCTGCCCGGCTGTGCCCGGCTGTCGATCCCGCTTGCCAGTCAGCCCCGTCCTGCCCTGCCGCTTGCAGGCTGGAACCGCCTCAGGCAGACCCCTCTCAGGCCGTCGTCTGGGACATGCACACGTCTCCCAGGGGAGATGCCAGCATAGCAGACTTTGTGCAGCATGCGCTGACGTCAAGGCCCGGTAGCGGCTGCGGCGCAGACAGTGGTGAGCGGCGCCGGCACGCATGCCCGCTTGTCGTGGCCGGGCAGGCCATGCCGGTGTGTGTGGTGCCTGCTCCCTACCTCCATCTCTGCTGCTGTGCTGGCAGCCCATGCCTGCCTGGCTGCCCCATCCCTCGCTGCAGGCGAGGACCCGCTGCAGCTGATGTGCCGGGTGCTCCAGGATGGCGGCACGCTGTACAGCGCCGCCGCGGGCCGCCTGGCCGCCCCCACCCGCCAGCGGCAGCAGCCCGTGGCTGGGGCCCAGGCATAGCCGCCGCCGGGCGGCACGCTGCTCTGCGGTGTGATGAGCAGCCGGCACAGATGGCACTGGGCCGGACGGTACTGCCGAAAGCAGCCCAGATACTAGGGAGCCCTGTTGGGAGCCTAGTGATGCCAGTGCCCGCTGCCACATCCCCACTACGACTGAGATGAGAGAGTGACTTCACGCATGCCCCTGCCTCTTCCTTGCCACGGCACGCTGACCCGTACCCTGCAATGCCCATCCTTGAGTTCCCATCTGACCCGCCCTGTCCCAACCAACCGACCAGTGGGCAATAGTGATGCTGTCATGCACGCTTCCCGCCAAGCGCTACAGCTAAACTCGACCTGTGATGCTGACTGTGAGCGCTATCTGATTGGCATGAGGGGCAGTGTCATAGGAAGCTGGGTGGGGGTAGTAGCATGGTCTCAAGTAGAAGCTCGGTAGCATACGGGCGTTAGGGAAAGGGCCTCGGTACGGGCGGGTCTCGGTACCAGATGCGAGGGTAGGTTTCCGTCAATCAAGTGCAGGGGATTCTTGCCGTACAGTGGATGTTCAAATACGCAGTGCATCAGGAGTAGAAGTCGTGCTGCTGGATGGCCAGCACGATGCCCCTCACCGCCCCGATGGATGCCAGCAGGCCCACGGCCGCGAACAGCACCGCAAGGCCGACATGCGCCCAGTAGGCTGCCGCCGACACCTCGCCGCCGCGCGCCATCAGGTAGAGTATGGGGGGGACGACGAATACCAGCGGGGTCAGGCCCACCTGCGTTCGCATAGACGGGGCAGGGGGATCGGTGTGGGCCAGGTAGGCGCGGGTCAGCATGGCAGCGCTGCCACCCGGTGCATGCGCTGCCATGGCTGGCCGGGCAGCGCCAGGCCGTCCTCTCCTGCCCTTCCCAGATGTATGCACGGCAGCGTCGCTCACAGCGCCTGCAGAAAAAAATAAGGAAAAGTTACTGCGCCAGTTGGTAAACTGTCTTCAATGTTCTGATCAGCCGATACGCAACAACCCCACAAACAGCAATTGGACAAACTCAATAGGGTCCAAAACGCTAGCCAACCTATTAGCCCCATCAACTGGGCGAAGAAAGGGAAGGTGGCGGCGATGAGCGTGATGATGATGACGTAAGGGACCCTGCGCCAGCCCCAACAGCAAGTTTACACAATCCATCCAACATGCCGCGGGCGGGCAGCAGCAGCAGCGTCGCTGTGGGTAGCTCAAGGCACCCTCACTAGAGCCTCGCGCCTACACTTGCAGCTTACAAAACCCATGTGTACGGTCATAGCTGCGTGAGCCGGCAGGGCTGCACGCCCTCACCTGACCAGGACCATGCACAGCCGGGACGGCACCAGCAGGCGCCGCCCCTCGGCATTTCGGTGCTCGGTGTGGAGCCAGGTGGCGGCCGGGTAGCGGTGCACCAGCTTGGGCTCCCAGGAATCGTACAGCACAAACTCAAACACCTGCCGGCAGCACACGCCAGGCAGCACGCCGCTTGCGAAGACGCACAGAGGAGTGAAGGTGGCGCGGTGCTGGCCATCATGGCCTGCGCTCCACCCCCCCCACACCCAGCCCATCCCCCCGTTTAGGCCCCTCGGCACCCCCCCCCCCACCCCCCAAGCCCCCCCCCCCCCACGCTGGCGTAACTTGCCTGCTCGCCCACCAGCAGCTGGAAGATGCACATCAGGTTCAGGATGGTGATCAACCACTTGGGGTGGGTGTTCATGCTGAGCAGGAAGCCCGACACGGCATTGCCGTACGCCCTGCAGGCGGGGCGGCACGCACCAGCAGCGCCGTGTTACGCTCGGCAGCGGGTGGGTGGCAGGTGGGTGGCACGGCCTGAGCACGGCCCGGAGCGAGGCACCGCACCAGCCGCAGCGCCGCCGCCGGCGGTGGGGCGCGGGGCGTCATGCGGTGGCGGCGGCGGCAGGAGGGTGCCGTGGGCCAGGCGGCGCACCAGTACCCCACGACAGCCACCGTCAGGTAGATGGGCGTGACGAGCGAGTAGGCAGCCAGGATGCTGCGCCGCATGGGCGGGTAGGCGGAGCCCGTCTTGGGGTCGGCCTTCAGGGTCGCCTGCGGCGAGGCAGCGGCGCGGAAGAGGCGGCAAGGACAGCGGTCAGGCCTGCAGGCCCGCCGTGAGGCCCGCGCGCTGACCAGCCGCAGGCTGGCGAGCAGGCGCACCGCAGGCGCACCGCCTGGATGCGCACACACACAGACACCACACACCTGAATCTCTGGAATTATGTTATTGGCATAAACGAAGACGGCGATGCCGATGGCGTTGAAGCCGTTCATCACACGGTTGATGGTGCTGCCGGGGATGGAATAGTCGGCGCCCTCGCCGCCCCCTGCGGCAGGCAGGGGCAGAGCGGCGGCGGGGCGCGACCAAGCTGTGAGCGGCCAGGTGGGTGGCAGGCGGGCGCATCGGGGCGGCAACCGACGCAGCCAACCAGGCTGGCAGGTGCTGGCAGGCTCTGGCGCCAAGTGACCGCCTCCTAGCCGTGACGGCAACACAACGTGACGGGCAGCCAGGTCGGCGAGCGCCCACACGGCTCTTCCCTCTCCCCGCCTCACCCTGCACCCCTGCCAGGATGACCGCCGCCAGCGAGTAGGTGACCATGAAGGCTGTGGTGACCGCAGTCAGCACCTCTGCCCTCGCCATGTCGGGGCACTGCGTCAGCACCATGAGCGCCACCCCCGCCACCACCGTCCACAGCGCGTTGCCGACGGGGCAGTCGCCTGCGCGGCGCAAGGGGCGGGGGTGGCAGCGACGCCATGCAATGGGAGGCTGGGCACATGGGTGCGGCCAGGCGGAAGGCATGTTGGGGGCAGGCCCGAAGCGGCGAGAGCGGGCGAGCCGCAAATGTAAGGCAGTGCTGGCGGGTGCCTGCCGCGCCGCCAGCCGGGCGGCGGCTTGCCTCCGGTGCAGAACAGTAGGTAGATTGCCTGGAGGCACTGGGCTGCCAGGATGAGGTTAGCGATGCCCACCTGCGGGGCCGCATGCAAGGCAGCGGGCGGGCTGAGGGCAGGCCCGGTTGGCGCCAGCCTGGGTGGCGTGCCCGGCGTGGCGTGGCCTGCTGTGCAGCGCCATGCCACCCGATCATGCAACATGCTGGGCACGCGTTCCCGCACCCCAATGATGACAGTGAACTGCAGTAGCAGCACGGTGTGGTATGTGTACGGGTGGCGGCTGCCTGCGGGTTGAATGTGTGTGTGTGCGGGGGGGTGGGGGGGGGGGGTGAGCGCACGGGTGGCGCGGACCAGCACAGCTCGCATTCCCGGCAGCTACCACCCACCCAGCAACGTACCCGCACAGTTTCCCCAGGTGCTGAGTCCCAAATGCGAGAACTCCACCCGGCACCTATGTGAGTATGTATCCTCCCTGCCCTGACGGGCGCCAGAGGAGGGCAGGCAAGGGGCCTTCACGGTGCATGTTACCGCAGCCATACCTCACCCATGATCTGCTTGGCCAGAGTGCGGTACAGCCCATTGCGCTTGCCGCCGTGCTCGTGCAGCTTCGCCAGCAGCAGGTTGCAGTAAATGGTGGCCACTGCCGACACGAGCAGCACCACAAGGCCGCCAGCCCAGCCCAGGGCCGCCATGGCAAAGGGCAGGCCCAGCAGGGTAGGCTGCGCTGTGGACGTGGCCAGCAGCCAGGTGCCTCGCTTCCAGGTGCCTGCATCACGGCGGACAGGAAATGGCGTTCTAATGGACATGGATGACTGCCATGATGATGGCGACAAGGTAAGGGAATTAGGTTAGCTGGGGCACGGGCGAGAGGGAAGCGGCGGCAGCGGCGGTGGCAGCGGCGCGCGGCCCTGACCGCTGTGTTGTGAGGCCCCTTTGCAGCGCTCTTCTTGTGCAACCATTGAGCTGCTTGCAAGCCAGTGAGCGCAGCGGCTTGCTCACCGTCAGGTTCCGCAAGCTGGCTCTGGCCCAGGAAGCGCATGGTGAGCATGGACTCTAGCTGCTCTGGCACATCCATATCCTTTGCGCTCTTCTCCACGTCCAGCGCGTTTCGTTCAGCCGCATTTTCAACAACGGCAAGGAGCTCGGCCGGCATCCTCCTTGCCGTTCAGAGCAGTTGCGCAGCGGCAGTAACCACTGCAATGAATTCCCATCAGGACTGCCGCTGCGAATAATTCCTCCCGGGCCCCGGGTCGTGGGAGACTCCCTCCGGGTCCGGAGGGAGCTGGGTTTGTCAAACCGACCACTGCATTTTGGATGCAAGGGCCCTGCACCTGTGAAGCGTAGTCATGTCGACCATAGGTGGTGCTTTGACCCCTGCAGGCGCTACTGCCCCGACCACCAATGGCACCGGCAGCTGCTGACGGCTTTGACCCCTGCAGGGGACACCTGTGGACCTTGATGGCACGCCTGCTGTATTACACCCACTGCATGCACGTTAACAAAGTGATGGCAGGACCATGGTTACATGCTCCAGGAAACACCAACGCGTCAACTGTGGCAACCTTTTGCGGGGTAGGCAGGGCAGGGCAAGGCGGGGCAACTGAACTGCAGACCGGACGAACTTCGCGGCGGCGCGACAGTGGCAGGAGGCGGACCAACCCCAAGCTGCCAAGCGGCGCGGATGGGACAGCGGCTGTGTGTAAGGTTTCTACAGACTGTGGTTGATCAAATCATGCATTGACGCTAGGCACAGCCGGAGCAGATGTGATAGAAAGCAGCGCAGGTCAAGGAGACTGGTGGCGGCGATGGGAAGCACAAGGCACCGGCGAAGCGGCAGCCAGGGTTGGAAGTCGGCGGTGGCAATGGGGCTAGACACATGTATGCTGGGAAATGTACAGGGGCGGCATTGAGCGAGAGGCTTGCCAGGCCAAGGGAAGACGACCGTGGCACAGGGCGGGACGAGAGGTAGCAAGCTCACAAGCCCCCTCCTGCGCCTCTCACACAGGGCCAAGAGGTGCCACGACACGGGCCATGCCCACCCAAGTGGACACGTAGAGCAGTGCAAACACTGGCGCGCCTAAGAAGCACAGCGACAATGTACCGGGCAGGCCGAGGAACAGGAACACAGCCTGGACGCTCCTCGTCGTCAGATCTGGTGGCGGCCGCTTGTACACCTTCACCGCGGGCGGGGCGGGGCGGGGCTGCATGGGGCTGGTGATGCCTGCTCGGGCGGCAGTAACAGTCAGGCGGCGGCTGGGCAGCGAGGCTCCTGCAAGCATTCCATTCATTGTGTGAGAACTTAGCAGATGGGCAGGAGAGGCAGTTTTGAAGCCTGAAGGCAGTCAGACACGCGCGCTCTGCGCGTCCTGCCTGAGCGCGGCCTGACTTGCGGCTGCGTACACAACGCTGCCAGGCGGCGCCCACAACTGCGCGGCATTCCTCCTTCATGGCCCACAATACAATCAGGCAGCCAAAACCGAAGCCACCTGCGAGGTTGGGGCCACTGTGAGGCACCATCACTCCGCGACTGCATGGCATCTGGTAGCCTCCTGCACTCAAGCGGCAAGCCAGCCATCATATCAGTGCGCAGCAGCAAGATGGCTAAGTGCAGCAGCAGCAGGGGAGCGAGCGGCGGCGGCGCCGCCGCCAAAGGAGGCGTCAGAGGCGGCCAATTTGTGCATGTTGCCTGCGTGGCCCTTCCTGCTTCTCCGAGGCCTCACGCAGGCCTGCCTTCGCAATCCTTCGATTTGGAGGGCCGAGTAGCGCAGCGTGCCCGACCTCAAACTGCGCACCTGAGAGCGTGCGGGCGCTCGCAGGCACCGCAATGATACTGCTGTTGTTGTACCCCCTATCAGACGTGTGCGTGGTCGGCGCTCTGTGCGCCAGGGCTGGCGCGCGCAGAGCGCCGGACATTTTGGCCGTCGAGGACTACTGCGAGTGGAAAAGGAAGGTTCTGACGGTCATTTGGTGGCTAGGTGCAGAGGCCAAGTCTTGCAAGGAATTCCAGAGTGGAAGGACGTGGCAACCTCATGCAGGGCAGGCAGGGCAGGGCAAGGAGGGGCAACTGAACTGCGGACGGGACGCAGTAATGGGGGCTAGCCAACGGCACGGTCAAGCCAGCCCCACACCTCCCGCTGCACCTCCTCCAGGCTGCCCGCCTCCCACAGCTGCGGCTGCCGCCTGAACACGTCGTGCGACGGCCCCAGCTCGTGCAGCAGCGTGTAACACATCGCGGCGTAGCTCAGGCTGACGCATAGGTCTGGGCTCCGCCGAGGCCAGCAGGCCGGCAGCTGCGTCGACGCTGCTGCTGCTGCTGCTGCAGTCACGCCACTGGCTCGCGGCGGCGCGACAGCGCCAGCTGCTGCCTCAGTTGGCTGCGGCAGCGCTGCGCGATAGGCTGCCAGGCAGGCCCGGGCTGCCTTGATATCGCACCTGCGAGAGCAGCGAGGGCAGAGGTGGGGCTCAAGACAGACAGGCTGCCAGCTCTGGTGCCAGTGCCCGCCGCGGGGACGGCCCCACTGCCAGGCTGGCCCATCCCCGGTGCGCTGCAGGTGCCCGCGGACTGTCACCCCAGGGCAGGCAGGCAGGCAGGCGGGTGGGCGGGCTCACCTGAGCGTGCGCAGCAGCAGCACCACAAAGTCCCAAAGCGGGTCCCCCTGCCCGCTATCTGCAAAGTCGATGAGCACGGCGGCGGCCGCCTGCGCGCTGCCGGCCGGCAGGCTGGAGCCATGCGGCGGCGGCGGCGGCTCGCCAGGCTGGCCAGCACCCTGGCCCTGCCACCCCTGCTGCTGCTGCTGCTGTGCGTCCAGCGGCGATGTGCAGCCCTGCTCCGCCAGCAGCCCGCCGCCAAGAAGCATGTTGCCTGCGGTAAGATCGCCATGCACCCAGGCGGGCATGCCGCCGCCGGCGCAGGCGCAAGTGCCGCCACCGCTGCTGCCGCAGCAGGGGCCATCTGCTGAGGCGGCTCCTGCCGCGGCGCTTTTGCTGCTTCCTCTGCTGGCGCTGAGACAGAGGCAGCCCACCAGCACGGCCGGGTCTGCGGGCAGGTAGGCATCCACCTGTGCCAGCAGCTGGGGCGGGAGCGAGCCCTCCTTGCGATGCACCTTGGCGGCATGCCGCCGCTGCCGCCGCACAAAGTCCACAAACGGCTGCCAGGCACGGCACCGGTGGCAGGCACTGGCCGACCCTCCTCCTGCTGCTGCCGCGTCCGCTCCTGCTGCTGCCGAGATTCGGTCAGCGCCTGGGCTCTGCTGGACTGCTTTCCAATTGCTGCCTAGCAGCGCGGCTCCCACTCGCGGAAACAGCTGCCGCAGCAGCAGGTGCTGGCGCTGCGCCAGCTGCTCCTGCTCCTGCTGCCGCCCTTCCTCAGCCTCCTTCCGCCGCATGTCCACGGTTCCGGCTGACGTGGAGTACACAATGCCATCCCGTGCTACCCAGGCGGTACAGCTGGGTGTACTGCTGGTAGTACCGCTGGCGCTGCAGCAGCCGCTAGTGCCGCCGGTGCCTGCCAGCGCATGTTGAGTAGTGCATGCACAGCTAAGAGCAGCTGTGGTGTGGGCAGCCGCAGCTGGCTCATTGGCAGCTGCACTTGTGTCCGTCGCAGGAGGCAGGGGCAGGCTGTGGAAGGCTGCCAGGCTGCCGCCGCCACCTCCATCCACTGATCATCCGTCAGCGCGTCCATGCAGCTGCTCAGGGTCACTCCCTGCGCCTTCCTGATGGCCAGGAACGGCGTGGGCTGCTGCCCTGCTGCTGCTGCTGCTGCTGCTGCTTCTGGGGGCGCCTTCTGTTCCATGTCACCAATGCTGGTGTCCAGCAGCCCCGCATACAACAGCTGGCTGGCAGCGCTGGCCCCACCGCTGACGCCTGCCAGGCTCAGGTAGGCCGCAATCTCCATGCAGCCCATGGCTGTGGCATGCGGCATGGTGGGTGGAAAGAACTTGAGGATGGCACCGGCCACCTGCAGCGGCGACAGCCAGCGGCGGCAGGCAGCAGCGTGAGAGCCATGCCTGTGAAGCAGCTCTGCGCCTGAATCAAACAACAAGCGAGTGTGTGTCATTCTGTGGCAGGCAGACAGACCGTGGGACAAAGAAGGTGAGCAAAAGCCAGCAGCAGCCTTGCCTCAAACACAAGGCACCAGCCCGTGGCCAGTGGCAGCAACTCGTGCCGGTGCTGCGGCGGCGGCAGCCCCGCCGCGTGGCACGCCGCCTCCAGGCTCAGCCGCCAGGCTGGCACGTCCGTCCACTGCTGCGCCAGCTGCCACACTTGAGAGTCTGGCTGCTGCCCTGGCGGCGGCCCCTGCTCTGCCTCCTGCTGCAGCAGCAGGCGCAGCCAGGGCCCTAGCAGGCTGTCCTTGCAGAAACCTAGCTCCAGCTCGGCCAGGTGCGCCACGGCTGCCTCTGCCGCCTCTGCCTCCTCTGCCTCCGCCTGCCGCTCCCTCTCAGCCGCCCGCTGCTCGCCGGCACCGCGCCGCCGCTTCTGCCGCCGCCCCTGCTTGCCACCTGCCAAGCGACGCTTGGCTGGGATCCTGCCATTCATGCCTGGCCCTGGCTGCTGCTGCTCTGCTGGCTCTGCTGCCGCCATGACCTGCTGCTTGCCGACCCCCAGTTTCTGGCCGTGTTCCAGGTGGGCCAGGTAGGCGGGCACAAGGTGGGGATCAAACATGGAGCCTGCGGGACAGGCAGCGCGCAGCGGAGCACAGGGGCAGTGCACCTTGATGCTCTCCACGATCGGGAAGAGCAGCGTGCCAGGGTGTCAGCCGGCCACCGTGATCACCACAGCAAGCTGGACCATCCATCCGACGTAAGGCAGCACAGCGCAGCAGGCAGCGCCCCACGCGCCAGCTAAACCGCGCACGCACCCGCGCCCAGCGCCTGCCACTGCACCGCCGCCGCCAGGTTGGCGGGGCTCACAAAATTCTGGGTCACAGCCACTGTCATCTCCAGGTTGAGAACGCAGTGCCACCAGCCTGCAGCAGGGGAGAGGCGTGCAGCGGGGGGTAGCTGGCTTTGAAGGCTCAGGGTGAAGGGGAGCTGGTGTGGTGGGTAGGCGTGCACCGCGCAGCTGCCAGCTGCATGGCACGACCAGCACAGCACATGGCCAGGGCCGCCTCAGGGGTTCACCTGCGGGGAGGAAGATGGTATCGCCTGGGTTCTGCAGTACCTCCAGCGGCTTCTGCTCAGCTGCCAGCTGAGGGTACACCTCGAGGTACCACTGCAGCGAGGTGGGCGCCTGCAGGCAGCACGGGGAGAAGGCAGGGAGGGATCCAGTGCATCAAAGAGGGAGGGAAAGGCGCACGGTAGCTGCTGTCGGCAGCCCGCGCATCGCTCAATGCCCAAAGCGTGGCAGTGCCAGCCGGCCTTCGAGCAGCCATCGTGCCAGCCGAGCGTCACAGCTGCATCGTCAACCCTCCAGCCACCCGCCCACCCTGCCAGCAGCAACCTTGCTGCCCATCTCCCAAAACCCGCCCCACCTCGAAGGCTGGGGACCCGTCTGCGTCGATGCTGACCTCCACACCGGGCGGTACACGGCCAGGCGGGTACAGCGCCCACCGCTTGCGGCCTGAGAGCAAGGGGGTGGGTGGAGTGACGCGTGAATTGGAAGGCAGGAGACACTGGAGGGGCAAGCTGCGACGAGGCGGAGCGGTCCAGCTCCATTCAGCTGGCAGCAGGTCAACCACAGAATCCCCGACGCGCAGCGCAGTGACTCCACAGGCCCCCACCTGCCAGCAGCGTGTTCCATGCTGAGGTGGCGGAGGGGTCCACGTGCCAGCTGGCACCGCTGCGCGCGGGGCCCGCCACCAGCCACCTGCAAGCGTGCGAAGGGCGGGAGCGATGAAGAGCATCAAGACCATCATTGCGGCCCGAAACCAGAGCGGCCAGCTGCGTCTCCCGGGACCCAGCCAGCTCTAGCAACCCCAAAACGCCGCACCGCCAGGCCTCGCGCCGCGGGCCCAGGCAGGCAAAGAGGTCGTGGCGAAAGATGTGGGGCACATGGTACTGCAGCAGCAGCTCAGGTACCGCCTCCCCAAACGACCTGCAGCAGGCAGGAGCTGTGTATGTGTGTGTGGTTTGTGGGGTCCTGACAACGCACATCCCTGTGAGGTGCACCTCGGGCGCGGCAGCCTGCTGCAGCGGCCCGGGCGAGCGAGGCGCCTGCCAGCCAGGCCGCTCATGGAGGCAGGCAGGCGGCGGGGGCGAGGCTAGCGGGCGACTGGGCTAGCTGATGTCAGCATGGGTGCTGCAGGGGCTCACGGGTCGAAAACATACAGAGGCTCCTCGTCTGCCTGCTGCGCCGCATAAGCAAGGTAGTCCGCCAGGCGCATGCGGGTGCGGCCTGCGGCGCCGGGAGGAGCCGCCGGAGCGGCGAGGCTGTGCTGCTGAGCGAGGCGCAGATGCTGCATGCAGGTGTTGCGTCCAGCGGCTGGGCCTGCTGCCCCGGCCCTCCACAGCGGCAGGCCATCGTCCTGCATCCTGCATCCTAAGCCAGCCATACTGGCAAGCAAGCAATTCTGAAGCCACCACCCAGCGCACCCCCGGTGAGGAAGGGCTTGGAGACTTTGACCAGGCGGTCTCCATAGACCTTCGCCAGGCGGGCAGGCTGCCAGGCCTCCAAGCTGCCGCCTGCACAGAGGGGCCGGCGGGCCGGCAGACGTGGGATGCGGAGCGGGGCGGCAGGCGACCACAGCTGGCCAGGCAGGCCGGCAGGATCCCGGCGCCAGATGCAGCAAGGGCGTCGTTGTCGCAGCGCGTGCGCTGCAGCGCTCCCACTCCCTCGGCCCGCAATGCTGCCCCGCTCCTGCCGGCTCTCACCGGCCCAGCTGGCTGCCAGCCCTGCCAGCATGACCGGCTGGGCTGGCCGCTCGAACCGCGCTTCAAACTCTGCTGGCGCCATGCCGCCGGCGTCAGGGATGTATGGAATGCTGCCTGGCAGCGGCGCTGCTGCTGACACGCCAATGGTGGGTGCTGCTGCTCCGTTGGGCGCAGCGCTGCCAGCGGCAGCAGCCTGCACTGCAGCGGTGCTGTCGCCGGCGGGCTGCGGCACCGGCAGGAAGGTGCTGAGGTCGACGTGGCAGCGGTACCATCGTCTGCGGTACAGAAGCGGTTCAATGTGAGCAGCACGCGCGCCAGCACCGTGGCCTCGCCCGTCGCCCAGGCAGGAGCAGGTGTGCCTGCCTGCCGCTGCCCGAGGCTCACCTGTACAGCACCGCCGATGTGAAGCCTGGCACCTGAGCCAGCGGCACCAGCTCCGCCGCAGTCAGCTCAGAGCGCTTGCAGGCGGGGTGGTAGGCCATGTAGGTGGCACGCCAGGAGCCCTGACAGGGGTGGGCACTTGGCAAGGGCTGCTCAGCGAAGCTGGCGGCAGGAAGCGGAGGCAGCCACCTCGGCGGCGGCGCCGGCGAGCACCTGGCAACCAACCCAAGTTGGAGCAGGCGGATCATTGCGGCTGCATTTCGCACTGATCGGTCATCAGCACAGCCCTCACCCGGTAGGCAAAGGGCCGGGAGCAGCGGTCTAGGTGCTTTTGCAGCCAGAGCGGCTCCTCACAGACCAGGATGCGCATCAGCTTGGAGGTCTGAGCCAGCACAAGTAGCTCCCGCACATCCAGCGAGTGCAGCAGGTAGCAGACGAGCTCATCGGGAAACGCGGCAAAGGCTCCCAAGCCCGATCGCGGATCGGGCCCCTGCTGCTGCATACCGATCAACAGAAGTCATACGAGGGTGTCTGGGAGATCTGGACGTGTGTCTCCTGCCACCTCGGCGCCAGGCTGGCGGCGCCTCTCTCGCATTCCCTCAGCTACCAGGCACAGTTGCCCTTGCAGCACATCCTGAGCTGCTCTTTACAGCATTCAGGGAGCTGCCTGCACATGTCTTGCGCTGCGCCAGCCACGAAGGCGGTGTACACACTCGGGCACGCTCAGCGGCGGCCAGAGCGCGAGGAGTGCAGCGGGCGCCAGCCTCGCGCGCTCAGCATCTCCTCCTGCTGCGCCTCCTCCTCAGCATTCACCGGAACGTAGGGTATCGCTGCCGGCCGCCGCTTCTCGCGCTGCCCCTCATACGGCGCCGGCAGCGGCTCTGGCGGCAGCGGGTTGTGCGGCCCACGGGGCGCCTCACGCCGCCGCGCTTCTACCAGGCTCGAGGCCTCGGTGCTCTCCTCCCCATGCCCGGGCGCAGCGATGTGCGGGAGCTCTTCCACCTCACACACCGGCGGCTCCTGCCACGGCAGCTGCTCCACCATGCAAAGCGGGGCACGCGGCTGCTCAGCCGGCTGCCGCCGATGCCAGGGAGGCGGCGCGGCCAGGGAGGCGCCTGCCACGGCACCTGTGGGCACCTGCTCCCTGTCGCGCCTCCAGGGTGGCGCCGCCGCCTGCTGAGCCTGCTGTGCCGGCTGCGGCGGCGACCCCCTGGGCGCCTGCCGATCCAAGCTCTTGGGCTGGCTGCTCCCCCGCGCCCCGCCCTGCCGCGAGCGCTTCGCGTCCCGCTCCTGGCCCGCCTCCCGGCGCCGCGGCGGCGGCCTGTGCTGCTGCGGCAGCGCCTGCCGCTGCTGCGCGGCGGGCTGCGCCGCGGGCTGAGAGTTTGCTGCTGCACTGGTCTCAGAAGGATCTCCCCAGCGAGACCTCCGCTTCCTGCCAGCCGCCTCTGGTGGGCTGCTTGCCGCCATGCGAGCAGGAGCCATCGACGCCGCGGCCGCAGGCGGCGATGCAGGCGGCAGCGCCGCCTCTGCTGGTAAGCGCTCCGCCGCCGCCGCTGCCGCTGCTGCTGCTGCCTGCGCTGCTGCTGCCTGGGCTGCTGCCGATGGCGGCGTCGGTGCTATTGGTGCAGCCTGTGATGCTGTGGGCGACTGAGGTGCTGCCGGCACCGCAGCTGCGGCAGACACCACAGGTGGCGGCGGCGGCGGCGGGGCCTCCTCCTCCTCCTGCTTCACCCTCACCAAAGCCGTTGGATCTTGGATCGGCTGCGTGACTGGCTCCCCTGCTGCTGCATTCTGCCGTCCCTGCTGCTGCTGCTGCTGCTGCTGCAATGCCGCCGCACTGCCAGTGAGGCCCTCTGCGGGCTGCGGCTGCTGCGCGCCTACATTCAGCGCCGCCACCGCCTTTCCTGCGCCAGGCCTCGCTGCCGGCCCAGCCGCTGCTGCCGTCGCTGCTGTGCTGGCATCGGCCGCCTCCTGCAGCTGCTGCAGCAGCTGCTGCATCAACGGGCGCTCTGCCTTGGGCAGGAAGGCGGCAAAGGCATCCAGCAGGGCCGGGTGCGGCTGCAGCAGCGGCAGCGCCTGCGCCAGCAGCCGCCCCACGTCCCTGCTCTCTTTGTAGGCCCTGAGCTCTCCGCGCACAGCCTGGAACTGGTCCTGCGCAGGACAGCAGCGGGACCAGCAGCGGGACCGCCGCCCGCTCGATGGATCAGTGCTCACGCTTGCAGCGGGAAGCGGCAGCAGCCAAGCGGTTGGCGGGCAGCCTGGCAGGCTGTCCGCCCTGGCCTGGCGCCCCGCCTGGCCTGCCTGCGCCCCACCTGCGTCAGCGTGGCCTTGAGCTGCGCCAGGTACGTGCTGGCGGTCTCATGCTGGGCATCCTTGTCCCCTGCTGCCGCACGCTCCCACTCCTGCTGCCGCTGCTCGGCGGGCGTGCTAATGGCGGTGGGGCCGGCGTGGGCGCTCCTCACCGACTCCTGGCGCTGCAGCACGCTGCCCTCGTGGCTGGCGCTGGGGGCTGGCACCGCTGCGGCCGCGGCTGGCGCGACGTCGCCGGCGGCGGGGAGCGCAGCAGGCGCGTCCGCCTGGCCTGCAGGCTGCGCCACCTCCGCTCCCGCCGAGGCGTGGCCCACGGCGTCGCTGTTGCGGCTGGGGGCTATGGTGGATCCGGCCTTCACCGCCGCTATCGACATGCGCAGCTTCTTGAACATCGGAGAGTCCCGCAGCGCCCGCGTGCCGCGCACCTGACCCGTGCGCGCCGTCTGCTGCGTCTGCTGCGAGGCCGCAGGCTGCGGCGGCGCGCGTGCCGCCGCCGCCGCCTCCCGGCGTCGCAGCGCCTCCAGCTGCGCGGCCTGGCGCTGCCGCTCCTGCTGCCGCCTGATGTCGTCGGCCGACAGCGGGCGCTGCGCTGCACGCGGGCCGTTGGCTGCCGCCGGCAGCGACCAGAAGCCGCGCACCGCAGGCTGCTGCATGCCGGCGCCGGGAGCGGGCGCTTGCGGGGCAGCGCCGCCGCCGCCATTCTTTCCCACGGCTACCAGCTCTGCCCCGGCCGGAGGCTGCCCTGCAGGGCTGCTGGCTGCCGGCTGCCCGGATGGGGCCTGCGTCTGCTGCTGGGGTGGCGGCGGTGGCGGTGGCGGCGGCACGCCCGATTGCGCGGCGCCAGCCGCAGCCACAGCCGTCGCCTCGCCGCCGCGGTGGCCAAGCAGCTGCTGCCAGGCGTGGTGCAGGCTGGCCGCTGCCTCTGCCGCTGCAGGGTGCTTGTGCTGCTGCAGCTGGCGCACGGCACGCTGCAGGCTGAGGCTGCCGCGGAGCAGCGGCGCCTGCAGCGGGAGGCCGGCCAGCGCCAGCAGTACGTCCCGCAGCATCGTGTACTGCCCCTGCTGCCTGGCAGCTTCCAGCCACTCCTCCAGAGTGGTCAGGAAACCGCCTGCAGGCGCAGAAAGGACATGGAACAGCAGGGACGGCGGTCGGGCCGCGCTCCCGTGCAACCACCACTGGTAAAAGCGGCGCCAAGCGGCCGGGGTGCATGGCGACGCAGCGGCGGCAGCCCAGCTGCCAACCCCAGGCGCCTGCCCGCGCACTCACCCGTGGCCACAAGCTTTGCCCGGATCGTGGGCCGGCTGGCGGCCACAGCCAGTGCCGCCTCGCAGCGCACCACATTGCTGACCAGCCCCGACATAAACGACACAAACTGGCCTGGAGCAGCACAGGGCGGCGGCAGCCAAGCAGCCAAGCAAACGATTGATCGCGAAGCCAGCGGCAGACCGACGATGGCTGGCCAGCCATCCAAGCACGGGAAAGCGGCGGCAGGCGTGCGCGCTGCGTTGTTGCACAGCTTGAACGGCACTGCAGCCTGGGTGCTTGCCTATGACGGTCGCGTCTCGCAGCCCGCCGCCAGCATCCAGCATCCCCTGCAGCCTGCTGCTGGCCGCGGTCCGCGCCGCTTCGGCCGCCGCCATCGCCGCTCGCGCTGCTGCGTGTGCGGCGGTCACGTCCTGGGGTGGCGCTGGCCCTGCGCCTGGGTTGGCCGAGGCTGCTGCGGCGGCGGCAGCTGCGGCGGCGGCGGCAGCCCGCTTTGAAGCCCGCCGCCAGACCTTCTTGGCGCCGCGATCCAGCTGCTGAAAGAACTCCAAGGCCTGGTCTGTGGTGCATCCGTCCGTCTTGGCTGCCACGGCTGCGGCCTCGGCCACGGTCAGGCTGTCTTTAACAGAGTAGAGCTGCAGTGTGTGCACGCATAGGCAGGGGGGGCAGGTTGAGAGTGAAGCTGGGTTGTGTGGTACCAGAGAGCAGGGCAGGTACCAGGCAGGCCAGCCAGCTGCACTGCATCAAGAGATCACAGGCTGTGATCCAGCCCTTGCCTGCCGCAGCATGTCCTCTGCCTGCTGCACAGCGTCGGCTGGCGGCGGCGCCGATCGGCCATCGCCGCGGCGGCCAGGCGCGCCTTGCGCCCCGTGCATGCCCGCCGTCTCGCTGTTGCCGCCCAAGCAAGACGTGGGCGGCTTCTGGGCCCCGCCGAGGCAGCCGGGAGCGAGAAACACTCAAAACAAGCTTTGCCCTTCGCCCTAAGGGGCAGCTGGGGCCCGCCCGGCAGGCGTCAAGTGCAACCGAGATTGATGAGCCCCCTGGAGACCTCGCCCTGAGGATGTGCATGAGGGCTGAGCTGGAGGGCGCTGAGAATGCCCCGCCATTGGCAGCAGCCCCACTGCGCTCCCGGCCTGCCACACTCTTACGATCGGTTATTCTGTTGCGATCCACCGTTTCACGGCACACCTGGTGCATTCCAGCGGCGAACCATGTTGGCAGCACAGCGGATGGCCCTCCGTGGGGCCGCTCTGGGTCTCTACAACATTGAAGTGGCTGCCGCGGCGCAGTTGCAGCAGGCCAGGGGCAACATGGTCCCGGTGAGAGGTGCCCTGTTGTCTGCCCTCGCAGGCCGGCCCTCCCCGCGTCGCAGCGAGCTGCTGAAACTGTTGGTATGCACCTGCCATGCAGGTGGTGATTGAGAGCACCAGCCGGGGGGAGCGCGCCTTCGACATCTACTCCCGCCTCCTGCGGGAACGCATAGTTTGCGTGAACGGCCCCATTGACGACCACCTCAGCAACCTGATTGTGGCCCAGCTGCTGTACCTGGAGAGCGAGAACCCCGAGAAGCCGGTGGGTGGGCGGTGGGTGGGCGGGTGGTGGCCGCTGCTCCGGGCGGCTGCAGTGAAGGCTGCGCCCGTCCATGCCTGGTATCTTCAGTGCTGTGCTGCACTATGCACTCCTCACCACCATACTGCCATGGCCGAGCCGGTGCCAGGTCCGTGCCCGCCTCCTGCCATGCACCCCTTTCCCTTCCCCCCTTTTCCTTTGCCGCTGAGCAAGCCGCCGCCCCCTCTTTCCTCTGCAGATCAGCCTGTACATCAATTCCCCAGGGGGCGTGGTGACTGCTGGGCTGGCCATCTACGATACCATGCAGTACATCCGCTGCCCCGTGGGCACGCTGGCGGTGGGGCAGGCCGCCTCCATGGCCTCCCTGCTGCTGGCGGCGGGCGAGGCGGGGCAGCGGCGCTCGCTGCCGCACAGGTGCGCGGGGCGCCGCCGGGCCGGGCGCTGCGGCTGCTGGGGCGGGAGGCGCGGTGCTGGCCGCAGCCGCAGGGCCAGGGCACACGACCTCCCACCCCGGAGCAGCCGGCAAGTTCGCACGAGCATCTCATGCTGCCTGCAACTCCGCTCCCACCCCTCGTCATCTCCCCGCGAGGCCCGCCGCCCCACCCACTTCCCACCCACCTCGCTCCCACCCACCTTGCTGCCAGCACACTCCCCGGGCACCTGTGCCCCTCCCTCCCGCGCCGCACCCCGCTGCAGCCGCGTCATGGTGCACCAGCCCTCTGGCGGCGCCCGGGGCCAGGCCACCGACATTGCCATCGCCGCCAAGGAGATCCTCAAGATGCGGGAGCTGCTCAACGGCCTGTACGTGAAGCACACGGGGCAGACCGCGCAGCGCGTGGGTGAGTTTATTTTAAGGCACGAAGTTGCCGCCAGCCGCACGGGCTGCGCGGGGCTCGACGGGCTGTCGAGCGGCTGCGGTTGGAGAGGGGTTTGTCACGGTGCGGGAGCATGCTCGTCCTGTGGCTCTGGCTGGGGCCCCTGCGGCGCCCAGCCCCTCACCACTCGTGCCCCCGGCTTTGCCAGACACAAGCAGACGCACCGACGTGCGCCCTGCCCCATTTCTCCAGCCCGTCTTCTCTCTGCTCCCTTTGCTACATGCTCGCACGCCCTCTTGTGACAACGCTCATGCGCAGTCCCTCTTCCACCCGTGCCCCTGTGCTGCAGAGGAGGTGCTGGAACGTGACTTTTTCATGTCGGCGCCAGAGGCCCGGGAGTTTGGCATCGTGGATGAGGTGATCGAGCAGCGGCCGGCGGGGGAGGCCGAGGCGCTGCTGGCCAGCGCGGCGGCCGCCAAGCTGTTCTGAGGCGCCAAGCTGTTTTCAGGCACCGCCGTCGTGCGCTGGGGGCGCTCCCGTTGCGACCACTGTGTGCTGCTTGTACTCCCGTTCTCCCCTGTATCACTGGCATGCCTATGTAATCAGCACTGATCGGCAGCTGTCTGGTCTGGCTGATGAGGCCTGCCGGAACAGGAGGCACACCTCTTGGGACCACCTGAGGCGGGGCGCGCACGGCGCGCCTGCTGGGCCGATCTGCCTGCTGGTGCGCATGAACCACGGCCGATCGACACATCACATTGCAGACAATCCGCATATGCTCTCAGGCATCAGGAGCTTGCGGGCAGTGCGGGCGAGCCGGCCATCTGCTCGTGGCCATAGCTCGAGCGGGCCTCGGAACCACTGAGAGCGCTCGCTTGTGGCAGAGGTGGACGCCTGGTGAGGGAGCAGCGACCTCCGCGGGCGGCTGGTGGCCGCCTGCAGCTGCTTTACTCGCCGCCCCGCCCGCCCACCTGCGGCGCAGGGCTTTGATCATGAGCTTACTGGGCTCCCGGAACCCCCCGATGGCAACAACCAGCATCCCTGTGCTGGTCCGTCGTCTGCGCAGCAGTGCAGGAGTCAGGGCGGTGGAGGCAGCCAAGGAGCTGGCGGGCCGCTCATACACCAGCGCCGCCGACAGTTCAGCCATCATTGATGCGGGCGGCCTTCCGGTGCTGCTGCAGCACCTCACCAGCAGCCACAGCAGCGCGTATTTGCGAGAGATGGCAGTGATAATTTTGTCCGGCCTTGCCTCGCCTGACAGCAACGCAGCCATTGCAGCAGCGGGCACCATCCCCGTGCTGGTGCAATACCTGCGCAGCACCAGGCGCAGGATCGGGCAAGCAGCGGCATTTGCGGTGCTCTGCAGCGTGGCCAAGGGCAGCCCTGAAAGAAAGGCAGCGATTGCAGCGGCGGGCGCCGTTCCTGTGCTGATCCAACTCCTGGATAGCGACAACAGCAAGGATATGCAGGCGGCAGCAGCAGAGTTGTTGCGCACTCTCACTGACAGCAGCCCCGCCAGTTCTGCGGCCATCACAGCTGCTGGCGCCATCCCAATGATTGTTCAGCACCTCAGCAGCAGCGCCTGTGAGGAAGTGCAGGAGTACTTAGCTGGGACACTGCGCAATTTGGCCTTCTGCCCTGACAGCCGCCCAGCCATTGTAGCCGCTGGTGGAATCCCGGCCCTGGTGCAGTGCCTGCAAAGTCGCCAGCGTAACGAGGCTTTCACTGAGGCAGTAGCCACGGGGCTGCTATTCCTAGCCATTGACAACCGTGATGACAGCGCAGCCGTCGCAGCTGCTGGCGGGGTCCCTGTCCTGCAGCAGCTTCTGTGCAGCCACCCGAGCGAGGCGGTACGCACCGCTACAGCTTCCACACTGCGAAGCATGCTTGACAGCGGCCAGGCTGCGGCTGTGCTGCTCAATCCTGAGAGCGCAGCGGGAGCGAGTGCAGCGCCGTCGTCAGCATGCGCACCACCTGCAGCGGGGGTGGCGGCAGTGGATGCCGAAGCTGCGGCAGAGCCCGCTGCACCTGCTGGCCCAAGTGCAGCTGGTCCCAGGGTGTGCGCGTCTCCTGGGTGTGGCAACACGCGAGGCCTGCGCCGCTGTGGCGGGTGAGCGGTGGCCCTGGCTGCAGAGGCGCAGAGGCTGTCAGGCAGCCTCAGCTCTGCCCATGGGATGGTGTGAGGCTTGCCTGCCATGACTCATGCTCTCGTGCCCTGCCCCGCCTGCCTTTCGCATGCAGGTGCCGGGCTGTGAGGTACTGCAGCGAGGCCTGCTGCCATGCGCACTGGCGAGCCCACAAGCCAGAGTGCCGGCACCTGAGTGCCGCTGCGGCTGCTGCACAGTCCTAGCCTCACCCGTTGGAGGTGCACCACCAAACGGTTCCAGCTGCTGCTTCGGGATGATGCTGACCAGTGAGGGCAGCTGCCCAGTAGTTTGCAAGTTTTTGCGACGAAGCCGCAGGATGAAGATGAACAATCTGTCGATGCATGCTGTGGTTACGTGTATAGAATGCATGTCCTCTGCGAGGGGCTGGACAGAGCCCTCCCTGTGCACAGCGCCTGTAACACCAGCCTTGGCAGTTGGGCATTCGGCGTGGTGGCACACCAGCTCCTGCTGCTGGGTAGTCGGACCATGTACAGGTTAAGGATTCAGCTCATACAAGGCAGACTTGACAACCTCAGGGGCGGTGCTCGTACTCGTACAGAATTCCTGCACCCGGCGGGGGTTGGCCTTGCGGCTGAGACGCCGGGCAAAAACGGGGGGCTACAAGCAGTGAATTGCGGGTGGGGGTAACAAATGGGGAGACAAACAGCTCATGGGGTGGGAATTGAAGGGCAGGGAGGCTAGCTACATCATGGGTGGCTTGGAATCAGCGGCAGCGCTGGGGCTGCTACGCTTGCATCGTACAGCTGACAGCCGCGTGCGTGCGGCTGTGAAGGAAGCGGCTGCCGCTGCGCAGCAGAACGAGGTGGTCGATGCCGCGCTGGCTTGCCTGCACCTCGGCGGCGCAAGCTGCGGGAGAGGGCTCCAGCAGGGGCAGCACGCCTGCAGCGGCACCAGGCGGCATGCCAGATCAGTGCTGCATGCCAGCTGTGCAAAACAAGCTTGGCAGGCAGCAGGCCGAGTGTGCAGGTGCGTGCTCTGCCTCTTTCAACAGGCACAGCAGCTGCCGCCCCTGCGCCCAGGCAACACACGCACAGCAGCGCCCCACCTGCTTCACTCCTCATCGCTGCACTCGTGCAGCAGCGGGGGGGCCTCCTCCTCCTCCTCCTCCTCACTGCGATCGTGCTTGCCGTGGTGAGGTGGGTGGGGAGGCGGCGGCATGGGAGGAGGGGGTCCCGGCGGTGCAGGGAAGGC